CACTAGCACACCGTGTGACGAATTGATCTTACCGACTATCTTCACATGTGGCATTTACACTAGCGGCCTATCAAAATGATTACGTCTTCAATACATAGTATTAAGAACCTACTTAAAAAAAATGCCAACAATTACAACTTGTTAGCTTTGAATTTGTTTTATGAATTTATTTCAATCGTTCATTATCAATTTCGTCGTCTGTTGAAACCTTTCAGATTATTTTTTTGTTTTGAAAGGAAAGTAACTCCTTACCAAACACATATATATGGTAACTAAACAATAACAACTTGTTACCTTTAAACTTGATTTATATATTTATTTCGATCGTTCATCATCAATTTCTTCCATATAGATTTTTGGGTATATGATGTTGTCTATATCAAAAACATCTGTTTTGTTTTGAAAGGGAAGTAACTCCTTCCTAACCCCATATATATGGTAACTAACCCCATATTTTTTTAGGACACCCTATATCAAATATATAAAGTCACCACGTGTAGTCCTTTAACCAATCATATCCCCATAAATCTATAGCAGGTCAGATAAATATACATATATATATGTACCTGTAGGCTGTAACAACGTAACAAGTTCATAAAAACACAAATGAAAATACTTCACGAGAGTATGAATTGGACCAAATAGGTCTAGAATCAGACGTCACCCTTATCCATGTGGTATTTAGATTTACAGCGTGTTCGGTTTCCATCCAACATGACCGACAATGCTATAAAAAAACATAGGAGAAATATGAAAATATCTTCTTGTGTCCGTTTCTTCCTTTTTGTAGCTTTGGACACGATGTTTTCTAAATGGAACATAAAATCAAAACACTGTTTCCTTTTAGATATGCGTGTTCATCGTTCATGTGTTCAATTAAAAATGTTGATTTAAAATTGAATTCATAAAAAATAAGAAATAACACAAAAAAGTAACGTTATAGATGTACGGATAAAGAATTGTAACCCGATAGTGTTCTGACAAATATAAAAAAAAAAGACAGAAACGAGGATTGAACTTACTACGAACTGCAGCTTTAGGGAATATACCTTTGGAGCCGTGTTTTATTGGAAGGGTATCCATATTTTATTTTGTATGCAAAACTCTTTGTTTTCCTTTTAGGTCAAATTTCAATTTGAGTGTATAGAGAAAAGAATTAAAACACACACTTTCACGATCGTTTGTGTTACACACCCGTTTCACTCGATTATTAGACTGCATTATTTCTCTATCATTAAGTTGAGTGCTTTCAGCTAGCGTTATACACTATGGACATTCTTTGAGACTGTTTCATTAAGTATGGCTTTACTTGCAATTTGTTATTACTTTTTTAATATATCAATATTTAAGTGTAGAAGGCTTATTCTCAACGGATTTTAATGCTTCGTTCTTCGTGATCCTTTTTGTATTAAACTAGGGTCGGTAACAAGAAGCTCTCGTAACACTTAAGATTAGCTTAAGACTGTCTTAATAGTTACTAAGAGTGCAACAAGAAGCAATCTTACATTAATCATAGAATGATTGACAGCCCTTAAGACATTTCAATTTCCTACGGATTTAAGGGAATTCTTTGCATCTCCAATAAACTTATCAATTCGGGTAACTCGAAAACATCTTAATTCTTATGTCTTTTAGTAAGAACTCTTTGCATCAACTTAATCATCTACGAGCGTAACACGATTCTTACTTAACACGTTTTTATGTAAGTGTGGTTCTACCAACCCCTTAACTACTCTTTGAATGAAAATGGCGCTTGTTTTACATATGATTAATAATTTACAAGTTTGAGCTTTCTAAAAAGCTGTGGACTGCATCGCTCTATCATAATTTAAGGTAACATGTGTGCATGTGGTTGTTGATTCTTATTAAAAATGTGGTATTTTTAGATATTGATTCATATAAAATGAATTTACTTTAAGAGTGTGTGTTATACACCCATGCTTTTAAAATTTTGTTGAAAATTAAAACATTTACAAATAGACACGACTCTGGAAGTTTGCCTCTCTGGAGGTGTGTCAAGATTGGCAGAAGTTATGAGATACAGATAATGCATTTTTGTAAACATTTCATAGGAACATTGTATAGCAAAACAAATCGTGCATATTGAAGATAAACAAAGCAAATAATTAATAATTTATATTTCAATATTGAATTTCAGTGTGCAATATATGCATAATAAAACGAACATGAATTAATGACAGTTGATCGGAACTGAAATACACATAGTTAATTTTCCGGCATTTGATGTCTTATCCTGAGACGAGAAAAGTCTGTAATTCTTTATCTCATTTAAGCCAATAGCTGTTGCTGTATCTCAGACGCATCATAAAGCAACCAATCAGAATCTATATGTGATAAGTAATTATTTCAAGATGGAGTGTATGTCGACTGAAACTAATAGCTCCGCACCGTGATGCGAAGCAAAAACAGGCGAAGAAACTAAGATAACCTTACAAGACGTTTATTCCATGACGCTAAAATCCTCATGATTTTGTGACGGATTGACAAATTATCAAGAACTGTCGATTAGACATAGCTGCATATATATATGATTTATGGCTTAATTACACCTTATATAAGAATGCCGGATTTTGATTGATTGTTAGCCAGTGTATTTTTCGCATATTCTAAAACAATTTCCTCATTTCAAACGAATTTGCCTGTTTTTTCACCACTGCCGGTGAATTTGCCTCAAATTCCCCTCTCTGCCGTGGTATTTGCCATTTTGGATATTCCTTTTTTACCCTCGCGAGCCTCTTCCCGCCAAAATCATTCAGTATTCGCACTTGAAAAATACACAGAGACTATTAGTAATGCATAGGAAGCCACATTAAATTTTGAAAAGACGTTGAGATGTTGTCTACTTCCAAAAGAAATTTAAAAGAGGAGGAAATGCTATAATAAAGGCAACAGTAGTATACCAGTGTTCAAAAGTCATGATAGATTGGTTAAAAGCAAATAAATCTCATGGGTTACAAACCAAAACCGAAGGAAATTCATCAACTATAAGAACAAAAAGAAAAACAAAAGAACTACAAAAACAAACGCCGACATACATAGAAACGCACTTTTTGATTACATCTGTCATATTCCTGTCTTGGTACAGGACATTTTAAGAAAAAATGGTGGATTGAACCTGGTTTAATGGCTATCCAAACCTCCCGTTTTAATTAAGGAGTGTCATTTCTAATCTTCCCTCCTCTGTGCTGGATATTGCAGAAAACGAATACAAAAAGGAACAAAACTTGGAATCATTATTGGTTTAATGAGTTGGTTTAATGAGTCGAAATCAAATCGAAAAGATTCAGAGAAAGAATTGAACAATATTGGACATACCGGAAAACAATTTGCCGAATTTGTCATGTTAGCGTAAGTTATTACTTTGTGTCCGTCGTTCATATGTAACCTTCTGACATTTCAAAATCAATACTTGAAAAAAAGAAAGAAAATAAAGTGAGAGAAAAAAAAACCCAACAAATCACCAAAAATACACCAAAATAACAAACCCAAAGAAAGGAGTTTTTGAATAAAACATTTGACAAAAAAAATAACAGAAGGAAGAACCAAGAATTACTCAAAGATAGTGAGTTTTACAAGTTATTGTATTTTTCTCAACAAAAATTGTACAAGTAATTACTTGTACAATTATATTTGTACAAGTAATAACTTGTATGATGACATCGTAGACGTTTAATGTGTTGTTCATAAGTAAGGTCGTAAGTTTCCTCGTTTGAATTGTTCTAAATTTTTCATTCCGGGGCCTAATATTGCTGACTATGTTGTATGGTTTTGCTAATTTTTGAAGGCCATACGGTGACATATAGTTGTTAAAGTCTACGTCATGTGGTCTCATTGGCAATCATACCAAATCTGTTTCTTTTTCAATGATCCTCAAATTTCCAACAAAACTATAAATCATCGTTGTTCGGGGTTACGAAAATGAATGCAATCTTTCCTTTAGTCATAAATAGATAACCAATGAAAATGCATCGATAATAAACTGGTCATGTCAAATTTTCCTTTGGGGGAGGGGTGATATCCTCTTGTTTAAAATACGGTTTTCGTGGTCTTTTGCACTGAGCCATAATATGTGTTTTTTTTTCTTAAATATTCTCACGTTGTTAACTTAATCAGGATCAATAATTTAGCAGAATATATTTATGTAAGAAAAATCCCGTTACTTCAAAAGCACGAAAGATTTTAATTTGGCAATGACAAAATCAAAGAAAGAAAACGTTGATGGACAGGACGGAAAGTTAGTAAGTGTGCTTATGATAAGACCGTCTTAGGGGTATTCTTAAACGATGTAAAGAGAAAGAAAAAGGCAAGGATAAAGAATGGTTCTGGTTACACTCTTAAAAGATTCTTAGCGCACTCTTTGTGCTATCGTAAACTATGACTTACGAGATCTTTAAGAGATGTTTCTTGTTACTGGCCCCTGATCGAGATAAAAAAAAAAGAGAATGGTCAGAAAAATAGTGTAGGTTAATAAATTCAATTGCTGACACCAAATCAAGAACTTTTTTAAGCAGTTTTCGATATTACTATTGTTATTTTCTTTAATGGAATGTAGTGTTCACAACTTTTAAGACTCATGGAAAGTAAGATCTGTAGTCCGTTTCACAAAAACCCACGACTAAGATTGATCGTAAGTATATTGAATTGTTCACGACTTACGACCAATCTTAGTCGTAAGTTTTTTTGTGAAACCTGCTTCTGATCACCAGTCTGAGCTGAATATTAACATGCCTGAGTAGTTTATATGACATCAATTGTGGTCAATGAAATCTGTGAACGAAGTAGTAACAAGCTCTAAAACAGATGACTAAAAATGAAATTATTTTTATTTAATTCATTATTGTCGTAGATTAGATATATTTCACTTTAGACGTACAGGAACATCCTGTTTCATGCTTTTTTTTTTAAATAAGGTAAATTTAATTCTATTTTATATACATCTATTATTTTCTAACTAAAAGATATCCCGTTTATCTTTTCAGAGTAATATGCTGACTGCCTATAAGGATCTCTCGAAACAGCGAGAGTCCTTTTATAAAACGTTAGAGGATCAAAGCAAAAATGTTCCGAACGATGTCCGACAGCGCCGATACTGCAAATACATCACAAACTTTGCATCTCATTTCTGTAAAGAACAGTGTATGGTGGTGGGGAGCACGACAGAAGGAACCAGACTGCGATCAAACATAAATGAAGGAGATTTTGATTATCTGATTATATCAGGAGTATCCATACCCGTAGATGCTTTGGAACATAAAGAGGATCTACCTTGTTTTATCCACATAAGAGGTGACAAATTTTAAAATTCGTTTTCTCACAATTTGAAAGACGGGAAATACCTGCACAGCCGCATTCTAAAGGAGGTCGACAGAGAAGCTTTTAGAATAATGCGAGGTCTATTCCAGGTCCTTACAATGCCACGTGTAACCAAGGGGAGACAAACTCTTCACGCCGAATTCAACCGTGAAGCTAAACCTGGCATGTGTCAAGAACATTATGCTGGCTTCGAGGTAGTTGGTGAGGATTTAACTCCCAGTATGAAATCTCTCCTTACCAACCTTCTCAGTATGCTTGCTGAGACAACAAACAACGACATATTTAGTACTACAATAGGCCAGATCTTGGTAGGGTTAATAGTTTCCTCAGTCGGCGATCCGGAGTGTTCTCAGCCGAAAAGAAGAAAACAGGACACTGAGGCAAACGAAAGACGTAACACTGACGATACATCAAACGAAAAAGTATTCCGGGTTAAATTCAACTACAAATCAAGCAAAGATTTTATTGCTGCATTTCCTATTGATGGAAAGCTTAAATGTCTTGAAGAATGGAAATGTAGAATACTGAATAGCGACAAAATATTTTGGCCGAGCACCGAAGCTGTTGATAAAATCTGTCAGTCGGAGGTGTACGTTGTAGCCAAACCGGCTATTGTTGACCCGTGTCCCGACATTGACTTTTGCCTCGGGTTCAACCAAGCTGAAATGATCCTAGCTTCTAGTCTCAGCTCTGATCAAAGATTGTGTGTCCTGCTTCTTAAAGCTCTTCAGAAAGGTTATCTTAAAAAGCACTCTTCATTACTTACAACTTTTCACTGGAAAACTGCCTTTTACCATAAATGCGAACAAATTGATCCAGGTCTCTTTGATCGTTATTCGACTATATTGAATGCCCTTGAAAATGTATTGTCCTACATGATAGATTGCTTAGAGAGAAATTATCTGAAGCATTATTTCATAGAGAGCAATTTAATAGCCCATATTACTGAGACAGAAGCCAATGAAATCCGAGGGAAGATCAAAGAAATTATTGCAGATCCGGAAGCGGCTCTCCAAGTGTATTTCGATATGAATAAAGAATGCGAAAGCTCAAAACAAGAAGAAGAGATTTCTATGAAAGAAATGGAAGAATTGAAGAAATGTAAATTTGATCCTGCAATTAGAATACCAAAAGTAATTACCATGATGTCAGATTTGCAGAAAGAAGCCAAAAGTGACGGTTCTAAACTCACAAAAGCTATTTTGGACACGTTATATATGGTAATTGAGGAGGAGACAGATATCCCAATAAAACGACCAGATACTACACAGAATCCGTTGGACTTCTTAGGAAAAGGTGTCAGTTATTATACAACAGACTTTTCCACACGAGATGAAGAAAAAAAGGCTCTAGAAGACGTCAGGGCGGCTGGGTTTTCCGCAGCTCGTTCATTTTTTAGTTTTTAGTGATGATTAACGTGCTAAATACTGTCTCTACTGCGTTAAAGGTCGACTAACCTTTATATGACTCTTAGATGAAGCATGGCACTCAAAGCGCTTGTCTATCTCTTATGATTGTAAGTGAATGTAAGGACTTTGTTTTCTTTTTAACTTGTATTTTTAAAGTTTGTCAAAAAGGTCAGATATATAGCCTGTTATTATTTTTATTTGGGACTACTTTGATGTTGAGATGAAGCACATATTCTGAAATAAAAGCACTGTTATTTTGCTTTTCTTTTGTTAAATGCATGTACAAGTATTCTCTTGCGAACTTGAATACTCATGTATTTTTCTTGTTTATTTGCACTGTACTAACGAACTGGGTGATATTGAAATGATTTTGTAAAAATATATATTTATCTAATTGAGACATGAAAACAGTAAGGTACTCATATATTAATAATGAACTATGATGTCATAGATAGGGCATAATAACTCGCATTTGACAATGATAATACATCCTTATTGATATTAAACTGTTTTTGCTATTTCCCTTTTTGTGAGCTCTTTGTGTATTTTGGAAGTATTTAATTTTTTTTTTTCAATTCCTTTATCGGTATATCATTTATTTCATTGTCACACATTTTGCGGTATTTCGTTTTAAATTCAGTTCGCTTAATGTTTCAATTTGACAGATATGTACCTAAATTAACCTATTTATTGATATTACAATTTTGCTTTCCCTTTTCGGTAGCTTTTTTTTTAAATTGTTCGGAAGTAATTGTAGTTTACTTTAATCCCTATACTCGTATATAATTTATTTTATATTCAACTTTTTGTATCATGTTATTTACAAATGTTATTTACTATAAACGTTTTGTGAAATGTCATTGTATATTTTGTATGTGTCAATTTTACAAATAAATAGCTGTCTGTGTATACCTATTATTGATATTACACCTTTTCTTTCTTTTATGTACGAATATCCTTCTCATACTCAGAAATCAACCAATCAAAATAATGGATTTGATGTTTCCAAGACAAATCTGAACAATTCGAATTTAGAAACATAGCGTCGACACCTGGAGATTACCGCACATTCAACAAAAAATTTATGTTAGTCTTTGTCATAACATAGACTAATAATGAATAAACACTTTATGACACGAAAGTTTTATTTCCTAGAAATATGAATCCTCACCTTAAATGTGATTGGTTCGTGCTTTATTTTTTGTTTCCTGGTATATTTTTCGAATTTGCTGTCTGGAAAGTTCAAACTTGCATTTTTCTGTGAAAACTGTGTCTTATCACCGGGTAAGTCAGTCACCTTATGGCGGAATGCTTTGCTACTGCCATGATATAGGTGAAATGTCTACAGAACTTCTTAAACCGGTCATTTATAAGTTTAGCTTTAGATACATACTTTGGTAACGTCAAATAATAAATATTTTACGGAAATTCAGAAGGAGAACGAAATGATAAAACATCAATACGTTGGTTCTGTAAAGTGTGTCGATAGGAACTTTTGACTGCAACTGGAATATGAGTATGCTAGCGGTCAGCATAGAAACCTTGGAAAAGTTGTCTAAAGAGTTCTTAAGGGCATACGATACAGTTACAGGGGAGGTAATGTTTTTGCTAACGTAAAATGTTATTTTCGCGACGCTCAAATTGTAACATATCGGGAAAAGATGCATTTTTCGACTGTTTTTTATACTTTAAACTGATTTAACTTGAAAACGAGTACATGGTCCCTCTTTTTAGTCCCCTACCGACGAAGTCGAAGGGGACTTTAGGTTTGCACTCCGTCCGTCTGTCTGTCCATCCGTCAGTCCTGCAAATCAGTTTTCCGCACTTTTTTTCTTCATGCTTGAAAATATTGATTTGAAATTTGGTATAATTATAGTTTTATCATGACAAGTTACAGACCAAGTTCGAATTATGTTCCGTCTGATGATTTTGTGCAGAGTTATGGTCCTTGGACTTAGAAAATTCACTCAAATAATCAGTTTTCCGCACTTTATTTGTTATGCTTGAAGATATTGATTTAATTATTGGTATATAGTTTTAACATGACAAGTTACAGATCAAGTTCGAATTTTGTTCTGGTCCGATGATTTTGTGCAGAGTTATGGTACTTAGTCTTAGAAAATTTACTCAAATAATCAGTTTTCTGCACTTTTTTTTTTGTTATGCTTAAACATATTGATTTAATAATTGGTATATAGATTTATCTAGACAAGTTACAGATCAAGTTCGAATTTTGTTCCGGTCTGATGATTTTATGCAGAGTTATGGTCCTTGGACTTAGAAAATTCACTCAAATAATCAGTTTTCCACACTTTTTTTCGTCATGCTTGAATATATTGACTTGATATTTGTTATATAGTTTATACCATGACAAGTTATAGGTCAAATTAGCATTTTGTTCCAGTACAATGAATTCTTAATCGGTAGGGGACTATGTATTGCCATGCAATACTCTCAGAATGCTTGTTTAAAATGGCATTAGGTTTTATTACGTATGAAGATTATTTGTACCAATTCTAATGAAAAAGTCAACATTGAATTTTTTTAAAATTTCATAAATATACCGCAAAAATGCCGTTATTTTCCTAAAATCTTGCAACTTTGTTAAAAATTAATTATTTCATAATAATTGTTGTACATATTAAGAGCATATTGATGTAAAGCAGATTTTCATGTTTTTACAAAAATCCGCTTGTGTTTATCTGTTGATTTAAAAAAGTTAGGTGTGTCTATCCAAAGGATAGAATTGTCCAAAAAAAAAACGAAATTTAGAGAAAATGTCTTAAATTTTGACCCCTTTAATCTCTTAAAGTAGCACATGAATGTATTTTTTTATTACATATTTGAATTGCTAAGGTGCAAAATAGCTTGTACGCAAATCATGGCTTCGTGAAAAATTCAACATGGGATCGAAACTGTATCGTATGCCCTTATTAAGCGTGCAGAAGTCATTTAACTCTTTCTAAACTAGACATTTAACATTCCCACTCCGACCACACTTGTCTGCTATTTTTACATCTACATAACTAAACGTACAATCCTCTTAAGCTTTTACTGCTGAATGGGAAAGCCCGGGAATTACCATATTCATATACCCCATGCAGTTAAGTAACTCTTTGGTTCCTTATCTTTTATAATTATTTAACACATCCATATAAAAATGTTCATGAAGTATGAATATCAACAAAAAGAGAGATGTTAGTTCTTATTGAAGCATTCCTGTCATATTCCAAAGTTTGCTCACCAATTAATGATAGTTTTAACTAGATTTTTCCGATAAAGAATTCTCATCTCGATGAAGGGCGGGAAATTTAAATGTCACTAAAATTGACCGTCATTGTTTAGGGGTATACATTATTCTTTGCAACGATCCACCTATGTACTCATTGTAGTTATTGCTAGAGTTCTCTAAAAGAGGGGCGAAAGATACCAGAGGGATATTCAAACTCATAAATCGAAAATAAACTGACAACGCCATGGCTAAAAGAAGAAAAAAAGACAAACAGACAAACAATAGCACACAAAACACAACATAGAAAACTAAAGACTAAGCAACACGAACCCTATCAAAAAGCTGGGGGTGATCTCGGATGCTCCGGAACTGTTTATAACGTATTTAAATTAAATCAATACGATGTATAATGATCGATACTTTTATCTGGGAGAATATAATTTATGTTAGTTTTTATTAGACGTGTTAGGAAAGGGATTTAAATACTGCGCTGATGTTAAATACCAATACCGATACTAAGATTTAAATGTGGACTTTCTTAAAATGCAATTGCACTGAAAAGTATCCTGGCGTAGTATAATAGTTTAGCTTTGTGGTGTGTTTGATACAACATGAAGCGAACAGTTAACGTGGACTCCAAATTTTAAGACGTGCATTGACCTTACGTAGATTTTCACACATTCATACATAAATTTGTATTCGTTTGATTTAAGAGTGCAAAACAAAACTTAACAAAAATATATGTAAGAGTCAAGAATGGGAATGACGGGTTCTACGGCCACAAGTCCAAATATATACATTAAGCGGTATGACTAGAATATGTTTTTAAGCGATATGATTAGAATATGTTTAATAGTTAAATAACTCAGTTTGTCTCTCCACTAAAGATATGTCCTATTTTCGTTGCAAAATATAGTTAGCATGAATTTTGTGTCCAGGGATACAGGGACGCGTATTTGTGGCTTAAAAAAATCAGTACTAATCTGAACACATCTTTATATCTATATATAAAAAAAGTAAATAAAAAGTAGACACAAGTGGAAACAGTGCTATTTCTATATAAAACTTTAAGAAGAAGGGGGCTACAGAAGAAGGTTGTCTTGCTGCGCATCGTTTTAATGTTCAAGAAAACCACTTTTCACGAGCTATATGTGATTCGTATTGTCTACTTCTATCTGGGTATGAATGCAATGAATGGACAAAGGGACGAAATAACGGACGGATGGACCCATTTACCCATCACTATATACCGTCCAATTTAGAAAGCGGAGTGTATACTGAATCTAAGGCAAAACAAAATGAAGCAAATCGAAAAAAAAAAAAAATGCCCGACATATAATTTAGCAGACTGTTTTGCAAGAGGTGAAAATGAATCTTCCATTATCAAAATAACCTCCTGACCCAAAGATACCCTGGTAACTTCTCCATGTTAAAGTTTAACGCCACTTTCACGTTCAACAATATCTCAATTTAATAGTGGTGTTCTGTATGTTGGTGGAGGAAGTCGTGATAACAAGAAAAAAAAAACCAACGTCCGACCCTTCACCGAAACGTAAAATTTAACATGCTTGATAATGTCCAAACTTTGGAATCTTTTAAAACTTAATTCATCAACCTCTCTTTTCCGAAACACTAACTGATTAAAGTTGATAGAAAGAAAATGTCAGGGAAAATGTGAATGAGAATAATTAATTCCCACAGTTTTACGTTTTTGGGGTATTGTCGCTTTTCAACATTATATTAATTTGCCAGTGACCTTTCCAAATAAAATAAAAATATAAAGATAATCATCAACCTCTCTTTTCCGAAACACTAACTGATTAAAGTTGATAGAAAGAAAATGTCAGGGAAAATGTGAAAAAGAATAATTAATTCCCACATTTTTACGTTTTAGGGGTATTGTCGCTTTTCAACATTATATTAAATTGCCAGTGACCTTTCTAAATTAAATAAAAATATAAAGATAATCAAATTGAAAACGCTTTTGTTTCAGTACACAAATTTCTAGTTATTATTTTTAGAATTTTTACGCTACTGTGTAACACATTTCTCTATTCTAGAAAATAATATAAAATAAGGAGATGCGATATGGTTGCCAAAATAGACAACTATCTACCAGAGACCAAATGACGTAAATGTTTGCAACTATAGGTCACCGTATGACAGACCCCCAACATGGAGCAAAACCCATCCCGCATAAAAGCTAAGAAAGGACCCAACATGACAAGTATATTTTAAATAAATTTCAAATAAACGAACGTTTTAAACAAAGATTGATGTAGAGTAAAAAATCGGATTCGAATGTGATTTGATTCCTGTGTTTTTTTTTTTAATTCATTTTTTTTTAATCACCTTGTAGATTTTCCTTGTAGTCGTGTACATGTAACAAAATAGTAAGAAATGGGGGAACAACGATCTTAAACTTAATCGATCCCTACTATGAAACAATGCAATTTTAAGAATAATGATCGTTTTGTTTTGCTGGATCCTCGTCCGTGTATTGCGGAATAAATTGTTACTATTTTATTGTTTAAAAATCATCTCAGCATTATCAAAAAAACCTATAAAGGTAACTATAATGAATAATTATCTGTGCTTTTTGAGATGGTCCCCACTTTAGTCTGTAGTGGTATTGGTATTTAACATCAGCGTCAAAATCGTAATGACTTTCCTAACACGTCTAT